TACTATAAACGATTCACCTGACTAACTGTCACTATGCGATCTGCAGTGATGATTGCACCTTTCAAAACATTCACGGTTTCACCAGTGTCGAGTGCGTGGGTCCTCGCCCACGTGGGAAATACATATTCCACTGCCGGATACCATTCGAGAGGCAATCCCAAGTTCTTGAACGTCCCTGCAGGCTCCACTCCCTATGCAAAAGCAAAATAAAGAAACCATTTTTAGAATGTTTCCATAGAGCAAGAACAAGAAGATGCAGAATCCAACCAATTAGCTAGTCTAATCCATGGCCTTATGAACTCATATGTTCTCTCTTATTTTATCAATGTCTTCATTTCTGCATTAAAATAAAATGAGAAAAAAGGAAAAAGTATAAAAGACACCTGATGTGCAAGGTTATGTATCAGAATAACGCTTCGAGCATCCTTATAAACATCGTGTGGGCGATACTTGGCTGCCAAAAGTCTGAACCATAGAACACGTATATATATAAAGACTCGACCAGTGGAAAATAATGCAAGGATTGAACCGAGTGGGGTCTAACCATCAACAGAAAAAAATGAGAAGCAAACACGTACAGAGGAACCAGAGCCGCATGCCAATCATTAGCAATGAACATGCATTTCTCCCCGTACGTGAACCCTCCCAAGGGAAGAACTAACGGAGCTTCACAGGCTGCTTGACAAAGCAAAGTGAACCGAAACTGTTTAAACACAAAAAGGCAACAAGAAATCAATACAATGAAACTTCACCTCGTTATGACAAATTACATAGCCAACTGCTTGTCATGTTGAAATCAAGGAGACAAAGCAAAATGAAACATCACCTGATTATCACCAAAAGCACCATAAATGTCACCATAAGGTGTTCCAGGTCGATGGAATGAAGGATGGTCCAAAAAAACCTGACAGCAAAGAAACAGAAATAGCTCTTTGGAACAGCCGAATAAACATTCATGGGAAGTTCATTAGGCATGAACTTGATCCTTATATCCTCGATTCTAGACAATGCTTTATCAAATGGAAGTGTTGAATGGAGAACTCCATATTTTTCCTAATCCCTAAGAATATACACATTAATCCCTAATATCATGCTAAATATATTCCTATCATTTATAATGTCTAACAGGAAGTATATGATTCATCAATGGAAAGTGATGAGTAATTGAACCTCCCTCGAAAAATCTGTATTCTTACCCAGTCAACTCCAGCCCTGTACTCATGGAAGAATGCTACTTCCTGCTCGCCACCAGCACAATAGATCTTGATTTTCACATCAAGATCAACCGCATTCTTAAACTTTTCATCTGAAAGGGATCCATTCAAATATCTAGGGGAAACAACCATGACGCGATGTCCACGCTTAGCTAGTGCTATAGGCAAAGAGCCACAAACATCTCCCAACCCCCCTGTTTTAGAATATGGGGCAGCCTCAGAAGTAACAAAAACAACATTGAACACTGTTCTTTCCAAGGTTTCCACCTCACTTTCCAGTTCCTCAGTCACCTCACTATCACTATCTGCATCATCATGAGATTCTGAAACTGTTTCATCACCTGTTACTGAACATTGAATCATATTTCAGTCACTCCAATTCGTTTAGATTTAAAATTACAAATCAAGGGTGCCCAATAGATATACCTTAACTAGCATTCAAACCATATTAACAGCAAAAGATTAAACCTTTATTTCTACCAATTAATCATGCAATTACTGAGCAGTAAACTGGGAATGATGAATTGGGAATTGGAACACATTTACATACCAGATTGAGGAATCAAGTGAAACCCAACAACAGAGCCGGAGCCATCCCTCTGTGCTCCCAACAAAAGACCCTTCTCCTGTTCTTTTCTGTCATCTTCAGCTACAGAGGACCCATCTTCTTGAGAACCATTTCTTGCAGTACTATACAGCCTCCCAACCTTCAAAGATCGGATTTTTATGCTTCCTTGCCTCGCCCACAAACAAGAAAGACTCACTTGCCCAAACACACTACATTTCCGACGAAAGCACAAAGACGCCGACGCCGACGACGACGGCGGCCTGCAGCAAAGCATTCTCGAGGCCCACAGAGCCTCCATGGGAGAGTTTTAGAGAGAGAAAGCGAGCGAGAGAGAGAGAGAGAGATAGATAAACGGTTAGACGTAAAGGATCGCGAGACAAAAAGGAAAAGAGAGAGCGAGAGACATGGGAGAATACAAATGCACAGTTGTGGTGGTGCCACTCCTCCTAGGATCTCAAGCCAATTCACCCATTCCGAGAGGCTACAAAACCGGCGTCGTATTACAGAGTCAGAAAAAAAATGATATTTCTCGGTGACACTTGGCGCGAAATTGTCTCCTGAAGACACGTGAGCATGTATCTGCAGAGCCATGGCCCACTCGCGATGGAGTTCTGTTTCTGTTGCTAGAACGGACGGCTGAGGTTCCCCTATTTCTGCGAATACGATGAAAAAGATATGCTCCTTATGTCGGTAAATCCAGTCCGTCCAAATTTGTGCAACAATTGCAACCATTTAATAAAATTGAACGAAAGTAACATTTCTTTATTTTCTCCCCTCTTACTGAATTACAGGGCGTTTGGTTGGGAGTAAGGAATTAGGGTGGAAAGAAATTGTAATTCGGTGGGAAAAAAATAAAGTGGGAATAAAGTAGGAATTCAAATTACATTGTTTGGTAGGGATGAATAGAATTATTGGGTAGGGAATGAAAGAAGTGATATAAAGACTAAAATGTCCTTGTGTAATAATAATAATAGTAATAATTAAGGGTACTTTTGTCATTTCATCCCTTTTTCTTTTCCCACAACTACCGAATTGCAATTCATAGGGGGGTGCCCATGAATTGCAATTCAGCAAAAGGAGGGAATTGTAATTCTGTGGAATTGCAATTCCCTCCAACCAAACGGCGTAATTGTGGCTTCCACTGAATTGCAATTCAACTACAGCCAAATTACGCCCAACCAAACAGGCCATTAGTGAGTTAAGTCCGTACAAATTGAACGAAAATAACTTAATAATTTGAGGTAGCTAATAAGTCTGCTTTGGTAAAGATTTATCATATTAAAGAATTTTAAATGTGACTTGTGCTGAATTTGACGAGGACGCAACACGTATCGAACTTAATTAATTTCAAATAAAAATATCATATATGAAAAAGTAAATGAAAATATGTCAAAATATACTATTTATATGTGTTATTTTTTTATTCTAGTTGGATTAATTGACATATTCAAAATTTAATTCCGATAATCAACTACTTTATTAATTCTAGACTTATAATTAAAATAATTGATCAGTTAAATATTGTACAATAAATATCATTTTCTTTGCATACAACATTCACTCATTCAGTATTATCATCGCTATAAATTTAATCTGAATCATGTTCATATTTATTTATTTATTCGGATAAAGAAAAAAATAAAATCCCTGCATTAATCTTTGCTTTTTGGACGCAGCACAGCCCCTTTGAGTCTTACTCAAGAAATGAAAAAGGGAAAATTCAGAAAAGAAAAAAAAGAAAAAAAAAAAAAAAAAGAGAGAAACGCCTTGAAAGTTGAAACTCTCTTCTCTAAGGTAGTTTAATTTATTGCTTTCAAAACCCATCCAAGTTTAAAATATTTCATATTAGTACCTTTGGCTATATAAAAGTGATTAATTTAGTCCTCAAATTTGAGATATTATCCCAACTAAGCAGTATTGATTTTTAATCGTCTTGACTCAATGCAAATTGTATAGAATGAAAGTAAATGTATGAATATAATGGATAAGTCAAACAATTTTTATGTAAAAATCAAATTTATGAAAATTAATGGGTGGGATAGTAGGCCTAGTTGGTTGGTCCTCGTTCTAAAGAATTGGTTAGATCGTTGGCCCTCAGTTATGATGTAATGTGGATGACTCCTTCGGAAGCCCAACAAACAATATAAATAAGGCGGAACTCGCAACCAACCGACTCAACGCGCGCGAGAATTCATTTTTAATAGGAATTTGTTATCTAATGTGATTCTATTTATCTATTAACAGTGTAAAAATAATTCCTCATGACAAGAAACTTTATGAATTAGTTTAATTTCACTCTCAAACACCTAGTACTCTTGTATTAATAATCTCTTTCAAAATGTAAAACGGATTCCAAATTTTTCTAAGCACATATGCGTTATTCCCCTTTACACTGTAATATTTTCTATACCTCATGTAGATATAGAGATTTGTAAAGTTTTTGTTCCAAATTTATGCATGAGGAGAGTGAATGTTTTAAGAGTTAATTGTGGAGTTGACTAGTTGATCAATAGAGCACCTCCCTTAAGTTGTCATTTTTTCATAGGAAATTGCTTATAGTAAAGTTATGGACACTTGTGAAAGTTATAAAATATAATGGGTAGTTGATTCCTTGTTTAATTTATAATAATAATAATAATAATAAACCTTAACTTTAAGAGCTCCTTGTTGATTAGCCCTTGAAACTTGTAAATGTGATAGATTGTTATATGTATCAATCTTGAATGAAACTAAACTATGTTACTAGCAATAATCAAAACTTCAATTTCACCGATGTCCCGGTTAACCATATTAGAGAATTAGAGAATAATATAATATTTCAAGTCTTGAACATAGTATAGTATTGTTTCATAGCTTTGTTTAGTGGTTTCTATAATTACTCTATGCCTAACTTTTTACTACTTGTGTGATATAATTGTGTATATATACATGTTTCCTATTAATAAAATTCATAAGTTGTTTATATCTCATAGCTTCTTAATATGGTATCAAGAGTTTGATCCTATTAGGTGTTTTTTTTTTTCATCTTTTTCATGGCTTTTGGCAAAAACACTCATTCCCCTCCAACTACAGAGACCACAAATTACCTCACTTGAAATCTTCAAATCACATCCCTTCTTGAAGGATATATATGATCTTCATCACTACCTTGATGACACTCATATTTTCCCAGCAGCTACTGTCACCATTGACGGTGTTATATCACCAAATCCTGCTTATAATTCATAAGCTGTTAATATCTCATAGCTTCTTAGGAGACCAATTCAGTACACCAAGTTGTATTATCCAAACAAAGAAGCAACATTGATATACAAACATTATTGTCACATGACAAATTGATAGCCATAAATACACACACTAACCACACATTAATTAGCATTTAACACTAATAATCAACCAAAATTATGTCTCCATCCAAAGTTTCTCAATGGTGACACCCTATCATCTCCGCTGGATTCCGGACTGTAACTGGGCATCCACTTGACTTGTCTAGCACAACTTTTCGGGTTTGGGCTTCTCGAGCCTTGAAGAGTTGTCAACCCCCTTTTTGTTGATGAGTTCCATTGGGCTGATGGCGGGCTTTGGGTCTTGTTCGAGCCTTGGGTTCGCACTTTCGCTTTTGCAGATTGAGTAGGGGCCATGAAACTCGGGACCCCATCACAACCCGACAGCATTTGGCGGTGCCCACGGGCTGTGTATGGGCTTGTTTCACCCGTGGTAATACTGTACCTGGTCGATTTAACGAGCTCTGATCGCATCGGTGAGTGAAAATCTATTTCCACAGTCTTTTCTGATGATATGTCATCCATCGTGGAAATGGTTACACGTGAGCCGTCGTGTTGCTGACTTGGCCGTGAATACTCCTTTGCTTGCGATGCCATCCAACCCTCCAACCAACTCCACCGCCAGCGTGGATCCTCGTTGGGAAACAGCTCAGCATGGTATCCATTTGCATCAAAATCCAAGAACTTCTGTTGTTTATCCTGATACAATAATTGATCCATATCGTCAACTTATCATGTCTTGACTAAAACTAACAAGATCAGATCGACATGTTTTACCTTGACTAAAAGTAACAAGAACAAATCCATATGCTCTGCCTAGACTAGAAGTACAAGAACATACAAAATAATATGCTTTATCCCGACTAAACATAACAAGACCAAATAATCAATATGTTTTGCCTCAACTAGAAGCAACAAGAACCGATCAAAATGTTCTGTATCGACTAAAAATAAATTAAAGCTAACCTGATATGCATAGGCATATGCAAGGGCCCTCTCTCTTTTCACCATCTTTTCAGTGTTTTGCAGGTTTCCATTGCCCCAACCATCATCATCATCATCTGTCTCCATCTTCTTTTCTGGGCTTCCACCAGGCTGCAGTGATCTTTCATTTTCTCCTGCATCTTGCTTGATCTGCACCTTCTGCTTCACTAACTGCAGCCTTCGAGCTCTCACTCTTGCCTGCACACGCACTAAAGATTGCATGCACCGCATCGTCATCAACGCTTGTTTCCGCACATTGTTTCCCCTCACCAGAGCCTGCAGCCTCACCAGCGCCTTCAATGCCCGCAGCGCCCGTCTCGCCTGACAGACATTAATTCAACTGCGATCAGTTAGCAGTAAATTAAATTAAATCATAACCTGATTCGAGTGTTTTAATGGAGATTTGGTACAAGATATCCTCTGTAATATGTTTGAATGAGGGTGGCGGCTCTTTCCTCCTTCGACTGCTGGCGCCCGCGTCCGGCCAATCTGACAACCTTTGCGGCAGCCTGGGCGGCGGCCGCGGCAGCCTCGGCCGCTGCCGCCGTCGCAAGCGCGACGGAGAAGCCGTGGTCGGGATCTTCAGCTGCAGGGGGCGATGAATCCCCGCCGTTGGAGCTTCCTGCCGGGAAATGTTCAAGCGACACCACTTCTGGGGCTTCTTGAGTCCATTTGTTGTGCTCATCGTCTGCAACATTGTTTTCCTTCTGCAAAAAGATGTTTCGTTAATCTTCCATCATTAACATATCATTACATTAAACCTAAGGTGTCGTTTGGTTCACGAAATGTCAGATTACCTTAGGGGATGTTAGATTGCTGGGAATGTTAGATTCCTGTGTTTGGTTAAAATTAGGATATGTAATATAATCATGTTTGGTTTAGGGTTATCTTTTATTCAGACACTATAATATCCTTAACATATTTTTATATATTTTAATAAATTTAAAAATTAAAATAAATAAATAAGATAACGGTATCATATATAATTACATGATTTTAAAATATTAACTAAAATATTAAATTTGAGAAACAAAATTATTTTATATGCTAACCTAACATAATAAAAATAAAAAATATATAATTACAAAAATAATTATATATATATATATATATATATATATATATATATATATATATGTGTGTGTGTGTGTGTGTGTGTGTGTGTGTGTGTAATAAACTAACTTAACCAAGGTTATCTTACATAACCTTAGAAATTGAAGGGAATCACATTCTCTTCAAAATCCTATGTGGAGGGAATGTGACATTCCTGGGGAATGTTAGATTCCCTGAGATAATGTAAACCAAACATAGGAATGTGAGCTTTGAAATGTCACATTCCCTTGGTTATATTATATAACCTGAACCAAACGCCCACTAAGTGGTTTGATTAGTTGATAGCATTAGCCGATTGTAAAAAAAAAAGTATTTTGGTAAATTAGTTGTTAGTGGATAGCTTCGAAATTAGCTTATGATTTTGAATTTTAGCATTGTTTAACTAAGTTAAACAGTTAGTAGTGATCAAATTGACTGATAAACTAACTATGTTATCAAATAGGATCATAATTTGCGAACAATTCTACCAAGTTAGTATGTTAACGTGATAATAGAATAAGAAGTTTTAAGTTTAACTCCAATAACTTATTGACCTTTTTGGTTTGACTGAATTCACTTATGATAAGTGGATTTAATTTTTTGTAATCTTTTATTGGATAAGATTACAAGTCATATTTAACCGTACACATCTTTATATAGTGTCTACCAGTATCCTAATGACCCAAAGAACGTGTAATATGCGGTGGAGTGATAGCAATATTTCATGATCAATTTGCTGTGCATAGGGACACCCCCAGGGGGACCATTTTTATGTTGCCCAGAAACTGAGTTAATACAGTTAGGTGAAACCTCACAGAAAGTCTATCAATGGCAAATTTCTTCAGCATCCCTAACACCCTTGATCCTTAAACAATGCTCACACATGATCTTTGATTTTTGGGATAGCCCGAAACTAATCACTCAATAAATTCGTATCAATCTAAAGTACTTATTCAATTATTTTAGTTAAAATTATTGTGATATTATCATTACTATATGCTTTCTGTCTTAATTAAAAGTTCAGTACTACTGACCTTGTCCGGAGAATCTTTAGAAGAGTGTTTGTTGAAGACTTTCTTGACGGATGAAAACCAACCACTTCCTCTCTTCCCCATTTTTTTTTCAGGCAAATTAAAGAAGCAGTAGCCTAGCTAGCTTGCCAGCCGAAACATCACCGGAAAACATGAAAAGGAAACACCACTAAGAATCAATAATGATCATTATCAGAATCTCCAGGAATTATGAAACAGGATATATATATATATATATATATCTATCTTCATCCTAAGACAAGAAAACATAGACAGAAATAATGTTGTTGAAACCTGGTAGCTATCTAGTAGAAGAATGAAAGAATTCAGTGTATAGTGGGCATCATCTTCATGGCAGCCATGTTTCTGGGAATTGCAGGTAGCCGGCAGAATGTTGTGGGTCGGAGATGGCGGTGAAAGAGGGGAAAAGTGTGGGAAAAAGATGGTTATTAGCTTTGGTTGTTTGATAGAGGAAAAGAGTGACGAAATTAATACCTGTAATAAAGTGCAGAGCTGGTACTCGCCGCTGTATTTATCATTCTCAAGTTACCTTCTATAGTTCTATTTGCTTCTTAATAATAATAATAATAATAATAATAATAATAATAATATATCTCTACCACTATAAAAGTCAGACTTAATTTATTGCTATTTGGGCTTAATTGTGAGCTAATTTTTAAAATGATGAGAAAACGTGCAATCACTATTCAAATGTGTGTGCGTATTGAATATAGCCCATTGGCCGTTTGACTCTAGATGGTAGAAGACCACAATAAGGTTTCATCCGCGGCAGTGTGGAAACAATCTCTCAAAATGAGGGGCTCATTGTACGCAGTGAGAAAAAGTTTAGCCTGATCAGTTTAATCATCATGATCTACCATCCACAAATTGTCGCTCCGGGTGTGGGGGTGCCTAAGGTGAGCGATTCCACTTTTTGTCACAAGTTTAAGTTATCTATAGTTGATTGGTTCAAACAAATGCAAACCAATACAATTTAGTTGTCCATAGATGATGTGATGGGCTTAAACAATTCCACAAAGTGTTGAATTGTTATTCCTGGGGAGACCTTATGGTTGTTGGAGAGAATAGTAATTTCACAAAATTACTATTTTCTCACACCAAATTATGGAATTATAATTCTATGGAGTTTGATAGAAATGAAATTACAATTTCATCCTATCAAACACCCTCATTAAGTATCATATAATTGATCAATCCGAATCAATAAAACTCGTAGACAACTCTCATAGTAGTTGAACTTGATATTATGCCAAAATAAATTTTTATAAATGGGAAAAAAACTGATGCCATGCAATACGGACCACTCAAAATAGAGGACAGAACATAAAACAATGAAAGAAAAGTTAGAAAACCATATAATTGGATTAATAAAAAACATCTTATGAACTCTTTGTCAGCTGGCATAATATATTGAAATATGTATTTTGTTTCAATAAGTTAAAGGATTCTTTATAGGTCGCATTGTACTGAAATATATGTGTCAACTAAGCTATAAATTTAAATTGTTGTTCATAAAGTTACTATTTGCTATTTTATATTGTTATGTTGTTACCTTTTTATATATTTGTTTAGAAATCTTTCCGATTTGGAATTGGTTCATATTTGATTAATAAATAAATTTTTATCAAAAGTATAATGGGAAATCATACCAAGTTTGATCAAGAAAATTACAACACGCATTCAATCACTCATTCTGAAATTAAACGAATTTTTTATTAATTTATGATAAATTGATTAATTTATAAATAGTCAATGAAGATTAAAATACATATATCTTTTTTTAATATAAAGTGATTTCAGTATGTGAAAATAACTCTCTCAATATATATATATATATATATATATATATATATATATATATATATATATATATATATATATATATAGAGGCGGGTTCAGGTGCGGCAGTGTCTTACGGTGCGGTTATTTCTTACAGTGCAGCAACACCAATAGTTCACCAAATATGCACCATCAACGTTAGGAAATACACCACACAAAACAGAGTAAACAGAGCCCTGCATCACCAAATACACACCATTAGGTGTGAGTAAAAACACCATACACTGTTCAGAAATACACCATTGGGGGTGGTGAGTTATATGGTGTGTTTTTTTGAGTCTGTGGTGTATTTTATGATGTTTTATTACATTTCATTGGAGTGTGTTTTTATTACACTGTTGGTGTATTCTGAAATTTGACCGCACCACCGCACCGTAAGACCCCGCCGCATATGAGCGCTCTTCTATATATATATATATATATATATATATATATATATACATACATACAACCCCGACAAACAAAATATGATACGGAGTAATATGTATTGGATTTTTCAGATTTGCAATTGCATGATAATGTGATTAACTTTTGCAATAATGATTCTTTATGGATTTTTGTGACAGCCTCTTAATGATTGTCAGGTGCAACATGGCATATGCATTCAATGAATACAAGTGAATCACATAACAAAAGTATAATATTTACCACAAAACATAATCCACTGGTTGGTAAATAGATATTAGCTGATAGCTGTAAATTGATTAGATTAGTGAGTTTGAATATGTGATAGTATTAATTAATTGTAAAAAAATTATTTGATAAATTAGCTGTTAGTTAATAACTGATTACATGTAAAAGTATTTTTTCAAAAAATTGATCGAAAAAAACTGCTTTGATAAGCTTTTTAAATTTCAACATTTTAAAGCAATAAGCTATTTCAACATTTTGAAGCAATAAGTTATTTCAAAAAGTTAATAAATCAAACATTCATATTGATTGTTTAACAAAGTCAAACAGCTAATAGTGATTAAATAAGCCAACATTTATTGATAAGCTAACTATATCATTACTCATGTCATGAAAATTAAATGATAGAAAATATAAATTGTGATATGTGTTTTAATTAGTCTATAAAATATAAATTATGTGCTACTAGTCAAATAAAATTTATGAATTTATTTATTTGTTTTGAGCTAGTTGAACTATGTGTAGAGATACCTCATAACAAAAAGTTAACACATATGTATTGATGTTAATAATGGACGGCAACAATTTTTTTTTTTTAAATAATTTAATAATCTGAATAATTTTCAGTTGCATATACATTTCATTTTGAATTAATTCCATTTTTGGTTATAGATTTATAGGTGGTAATTCACTTTTAATCAATTTTTATTAGAACATCCACTTTTGAATTTTGATCCTAGTATTATTGTGGTATCACCATTTTTTGTCCTTTATCAACAAAACAGTTAAAAAAAATAAAAAATAAAAAATATAGTGGTTCAACCTACTTTGTATAAAAAAAGATTATAATGTCTTTGTATTTAACAATATTTCAACGATTTTGTTGAAAGATGATTAAAAATGGTCATATCACAATAACACTATGACTAAATGAGGATGTTCCAATAAAAAAGACTAAAAGTGAACTCTTGTAAATATTAAATTCATAATGTGGAATGGGCAGAAGTTTGCCTGGGATAATTTTGGGAGGAGATTTCCCAAAGGAATTGGGTGGAGGTTTGCCTAAGGGACTTGGGTGGAGATTTGCCTAAGGGACTTGGGTGGAGATTTGCCTAAGGGGCTAGATTTGCTTTGGGGAAATTTGCAGAAGTTTTTTCTTGCATGGCAAGTTCTAGGCATTTAATATTATATTAAATGCTTAAAAATTCTCTAGACCTTCCTGGTGTTATAAATAGGCAGCATCCTTCATCAGATTATCCCATCCCATTCTTTCTCATCTCATACGAAATATACAGAGAGTATAGCAAAATTCTGTAGAGAAAAATAGAGAGTTATATTTGTAATTCCTATTGTTTTATCCTTTTGCCAATACAGAAAAAATTCTTCTTCAATTTTCTTTGCTCTGTGTATGATTTATTTTAAATCTTACACTAGAATTTATTCTCAATATTTTCCAGTTCAAGTTGCTATTGTAAATTTGGTGTTGTGAACCAGTTTCGATCCTAACAAGTGGTATCAAAGCCTCAGGTTGGTTCATAGATATATCTTTTTTGTATTGTTTATGTTAGAATAAATACTGGTAAATTCACACGGCCGGTATTATTCTATTATACAATACTATTTAGATATATTGTTAAGGATTTGAATCAAGAACACCACTTACAATGGCGGCCAAGTACGAGATTGAAAAGTTCAAAGGGAACAATTTCTCTTTGTGGAAAATGAGAATGAAAGCAGTTCTCAGAAAAGATAACTGCGTAGCAGCAATTGAAGAAAGACCGGCCGATTTCACTGACGATGCGAAGTGGACAGAAATGGATAGCAACGCTATTGCCAATCTGCACTTAGCACTTGCTGATGAAGTTTTGTCAAGTGTGGCGGAAAAAGGTACGGCAAAAGAGGTATGGGATACTCTCGTAAATTTGTATGAGGTCAAATCACTGCACAACAAGATCTTCTTGAAGAGAAAATTATACACTCTTCGGATGATGGAGACATCCTCAGTAACTGAGCACATCAACACTCTAAACACTCTATTTTCACAACTCTCGGCTTTGAGTTATAAAATAGAAGTGACTGAACGTGCTGAAATCTTGCTCCAAAGTCTACCGGATTCATATGATCAACTCATCATCAATTTGGTCAACAACAAGGAGGTACTTGTCTTCGATGATATTGCAGCTGCGGTTCTTGAAGAGGAAAGTCGGCGCAAAAACAAAGAAGACAAAGTTGGAATTTCACAACAATTCCAGGCGTTGACATTGACGAGAGGAAGATCAACGGTGCCTGGCTCTAGTGGGAGTCACAACCGAGGTAGATCAAAGTCAAGGGGTAAGAAGAATGTCAAGTGTTTTCACTGTGGCAAAAAGGGGCACTACAAGAATGAGTGTTGGCAACTCAAGAAGGATGACACCAACGGCAAAAATCCCGAGACATCAAATGCTCAGGGATGTGTTGTGAGTACATCGGATGAATGCGAAGTTTTATTTGGTGAAGCAGCAACAATTGTTGAAGGCAGGAAAAGTCTAGCTGATGTCTGGCTAATGGACTCGGGAGCAACATGGCATATGACCTCACGGAAAGAATGGTTTCATGAATATAAACCTGTCTCTGGAGGATATGTGTTCATGGGAGACGACCATGCCTTAGAGATTGCTGGCTTAGGTACTATTAAACTAAAAATGTTTGATGGTACGGTTCGCACTATCCAAGAGGTACGACACGTGAAGGGCCTGAAGAAAAATCTATTGTCTCTAGGACAATTAGATAGCCGTGAATGTAAAATTCACATTCAAGATGGGATCATCAAAGTAATCAAGGGCGCGCTTGTTGTGATGAAAGCTGAGAAGATAGCAGCCAATCTATACATGCTTAAAGGAGAAACACAACTACAAGGAGAAGCAGCCGTTGCAGCAGACAATCTTATAGAGGAATCAACGATGTTGTGGCATCAAAAACTTGGCCACATGTCGGAACGAGGTCTAAAGATTCTTGCTAATCAACATCTTCTTCCAGGGCTAACAAAGGTATCATTACCCT